TACATTTGGGGTGTGACTGGGAGGTATGGCCACGGAGCCCCTTAATGTTTTACATTCTTTCTAGTATAAGATAATTCCAATAACTCAGCTATAGTCTCAGTACCAATAATTATCTTTTATTTTAGAACTGGGAATGTCTTAAACAAGGAGCAATACCTAATGATGGACTGTGGTCTAAGAGATATGGTCATGCCAGTACTATTATCAGTGGTGTCTCTACCTCACCTACACTAGTAGTGATTGGTGGACTGGATAATAGGGAAAAACTAGTGAATGATTGTTTGTTATTAGATACAAACCAGTACAATTTGATGAAGGTATTATTTTTAAGGGTTAAAATTGATCTTTGTATTTGCATAATCCTTCTAAAACAAAAAATGCAACACCTATCCATATCCTTTTGATATACTTTCACAGTTTCATTTGAATGGGTCATTGAAAAATTAACTCAACAATTGTAATATTTAGTTATGCGAGTCTTGTGCCCTACCCCAAGGCTTTTTGAACATTGCACTGGATTGTAGGTATGCTATAGTTTATTAAAAATGCTGTAGAAATCACTGGTAACTACACTTGCTTCTGCTGCTTGAGACATTTTTAGATAAAAGATATGGTGTACATGTAAAATTTATACCTAATGCAGCAATGAGCTATGAATAGAAACAATGCTTTGCTACATGCAGTTATCAATGCTTTACTAGCTTAGGGGCTTGCTCCATTTTTTTACTTCCATAAGTTCCATTTATTTTACACTATACTAACTGGGGGCAAGGTGAATTGACTAGAAGAAGCATTTATACAATTATCACATAGGAATCTGGCTATTTGAGATATAAAACTGAAATGATAACTCATGCTAAGTACTAACTATGTAATCAATTGTACATGTACATTTACATGTAGACATGCCATAACCCCCTTTTCTCATAGTCTAGCATAGCCAGACTCCTCCCCTTTTTGATGTTGGAATGACTACCATATAGCGGGTTATTTTTGAAAATAACAAATTTCGTAAATTTCATGGATTTTCAAAGTTTGTGAAATTAAATTCTTTGAAATATGTTACAAGATGGCAGAATAGTAGAAATTTGTGTGAAAATTAATTCCGCAAACTTCCAAATATGGGTCATTTGTGAAATTTATTATCCCTGAAAAAAAACGCTATATAATATTTTTCTCATTATATATGATGCACTCTTTCTATATATATCTACACTACTGACTGCAATACATATTACATTTTTATATTTTCTATTTTTACAGATTCCTCTACCTGATTCTGCTACTGGTAGATACTATCATACTGTATCATCTTTTGTTCTTGATCCTAATCATGTGTTCCTGATAATAGTGGGAGGTAATGTAAAACCTGAAGAAAGGAAAGATGTAGGAGAAGGAGGAGTAATGAAATGGTTACCTACACCTGTCACTGACCCTAATATTACAATGTTAATAGAACTAGGTAAATCAATAGCTTGGCAAATGTAAAACACGAGGAGCAAGCAAAAAATTTGAACATTATTTTGATTAGCATTAATTTTTAATGTGCAAATGGCTGTATATGTAGTATTGTTGAAAGTTGTCACTGTTGTGCAGAAATATAAGTTACATTATAGATTAAAATTGCAACTTTGTGGAACTCCTTCAGTCTTGGTGAGCACAATTAACATTGTGTCATTGCATCAATTGGTTTATTTACCTATAAGCCCTAGCTTCTTATAGTTGAGCCACATTGCCTGATCGATGGTAACCTGACTGTCACTGTGCATAGTCTTTTAACAGGTTCCACCTGTCTTTTTCTGTACTCTTATTTCTGCTGCTTGCATAGCCTGGCCTTAGCATAAATTTAGTATGCTTGTAGCCTGTTTATTTTTAATATAGTTTTACTTATTTATTTTTATTACCTTACAAAAAAATTATGACTAAAAATTCTTCACATGCTATATACTATAATTTCTAAAGTTAAAGAAAGTCCTCATTAATTTATGCATGGAATTTTTTATATGCCACAAGCCAGACCATTCCCTAGCCTATATTCATATGTACACATGGTATCTCTCTCTAAGCACATCTGTAAGAGGCCACATGATGTGTGTTACAACTGAAAGTGCCTGGCATAATGCAGGAGTTGAAATGTCACTGTCCTAAATCTTACATTATGCTTGTGTTTACGTTGTTGAAGTTTAGAAGTATACTAGACCAGACGGAGGCAAGCACTTTGCTTCAAGCACATCTAAAGTACCTGTAAAAATGCTTAAGCACAAGCACAAGCACTAATGCTGTAATTAAAAATGTGCTTCAAGCAGTACCTAAAGTACTGTTAAAAGTGGTTAAAGCACAAGTAAAGCGCTCAATCTATAAAATAAGGCAATACTTGCGGCACTTAGGCTCTAAAAGCACCACTCAAATCTTCAAATAGATTGAAGTTATAAAATCTGGTAGCTTCTTTGTGGTTGTGGCCATCTTTAAAGGTTCAAGTCTCATGCATATGTTATGATAAATGTCACACACATGCATGACAACCAAATTAGTGATAACTGATAAAACAGAGAAGCATTAGTTCTTAAAGTGCTTTAAAGCATTCACATTAAAAAGAGCTTAAGTACAAGTCAAGCACAAGTGCTTGCAATTATGATTAATGTTTGCAAGCACCTTCAAGCACTTACAAAAAGTGCTTATAAGCTTAAGTGCTTGCCCCATGTCTGTACTAGACAGTACTCAATTGTCATGCACTATTTCATGATTGTCATTGCTTCTTTCTGTCCTCTCTACCTCACTGAATATACTTATTTATTTTTTCCTTTTTCTTGTCCCTCAGTTTTTAATGGTGGTCAATGGTCAGTGGATTCAGTATTAGATTCATTTAATATTCCTTTATTGTATAAACTAATACT